GTATGTACGTACGAACGAACGAAAGAGCGAGCGAGCGAGCGAGTAAAAAATGCAAGAAAACCGCACGACGGCCGACGATTAGGATTTCTTGCTACTTAGCCGACCAAAAGGACATCGGACTATTTTGGCATGGTTTCGAATAACGAAGTCACAGAGAGATCATGAGCGAGATATCGCGCATCGGTATGAGCACGTACACGAATGCAAGTATCTACTTTTTGACGAGAGCACACGAAGCGTTACCACTTCGCACACCATCGTCCCAAGCGACGAAATTGCCATCGATGTAGCACTCATCAATACGCAATATCCCGCTGGATCTCTCACCGTAACACTTCCGTATGTCCGCCCAAAATCTTCGTCCGTATTGTCCACTTTTGCCACCACAGACGTCCCAGCCGTAGCCGCCGTATCTGCAGTCGCAGCCTAAACGATCTTAGACATTTACCGTCGCCGTCGCCGCCACCATTGTCGTCGCGCCGCCATCGCCATCGCCATCGCCATCGCCGCCCCCATCCAAGTCCTTCATTGATTTCTAAACATTCTTGGGGTTGGGATGGCCTACAAAATAATGAGTTGGCATGTGACGAAATAAATTTCGTATTTCGACGGTTGAAATTACCTTTTTTGTTTATCAGCATCACTAAAACGTTCAGGTACCAAATCAAAGAAGCTCTGCACTTTACGCCACAACATTGGTACAAGGGGTTTACCAGCACCAGCACCTTCACCACCACCGCCACCACCAGCTGTCGCCACTTCTTTGACCTTCACACGGCGATGCATCTCCGCCATGCGTGTTGCCACTAAACGCCAAACATTTGGCTCCAGTACACTTGTCGGCTTCAATGTTACACCAGGTACAAAATCGTAAACCAGTCCATTTTTGAATGTTGCGAAAAGTGTAGGGGCAAAACCGTACGTGTGCAACAGCTGTATGTTGCGTGTCTCGGCTTTACGATCGATCAGCAGGTCCGTTTTATTACCATAGACACGCACCAGTGCTACGTTGCTATAGTTTTCATCTTTTGTATTGATATTAGTTGCCTGTGGGGGGCTAGCTGCTTCGCCAGCACTTGACGTGGTCACCTCTGAATCCAGCGTGTCCGTATCGCTGATATTGCCCGAGTCGTTGTTGTCATCGACCAGCGTCGATGTTGGTGCAGTCGGGGAAGTGGGTGTATTATTGTTGCCATTTGAGCTGCCGTTTTCAATATCATTGCCATTATTGTTTGTTGTGGATAGTGGAGGATTGTAGAAACAGCCGACAAGCTTATTTGTGATCCCATCGGTAAATTTCTAGAATTAAAAAAAGAGAGAAGAAAACAAAAATTGCTCGTCATTATAAATTATTATGCGTCATATTGCCTTAATATCGCTAACTATTCCGTGTATATCATTCAATTGAGCGCTTAATAGGCGCGTGCTATAATGTCACCCCAACAGTGTCGCCGCAGTTGGATGCAATATTAGGAAGGGAATGAATCTCCCGTGACACAGAGCACTTAAACTCGATAGCACTGCATTGCATTCAACTTTTATTATATCCGCTGAGCTGTGCTTGCTTGTGGATATACTATTTGCGAGCAATCAACAAGTGGAAAATAGCGAAAATAGGTTTATTACTACGACCTTGTGCTCTTGAAAAGCTTTGACTTTAGCTTCCGTGCTGCCTGATTGACACTTTCCCTATCGTAGCTGGTGTCAACCCCATAGGGATATCTTTTAATTCAATCTCTCTCAATTTAGCTTAACTGAATCACAAACAAATCACAACAAATTAAGTTTTGCCAATTAAATCACTTTATCACGCTTATCAACTCACAAATAAACAAACTTGGTGGAATTTTTCAACGTTGATAATTCAATTTTAGTACCGCAAAGTGTGACTATTTCTTTCTATTGTTTAGTTCGTTGCTGCGAATTTAAAACAATTGGGCTCTTGATTATCATAACCACTTTGTCAGGGCGATAAATAAAGCGTTTTTGTAATTTATTTCAGCTTTTTATGGCCATGAGTCAATTGCATTAAACCGTTTATGTTATGCTTAAAATTAATATTAAGGAAGTCACAAAAATAATACATATATATTTGGCATAAAATAACTTATTTATCAAAGATTTCGTATTTCTGTAAAATACCGTTTTATGGTAGGTGGGCTCAATTACCGCCGAGTTTTGTGAGGATTGGTCAAGGGGCTATTGAGATACAGTATTTCATCACAAGTGCCCGCCCACTTTCCAAAAATTTCATAACAGTATTACTTGGTATCCAAATTATACTCCACATACTAATTTCCAACGATTTGGACGTAACATTTACTGAAATATCGCAGTTTTTGCATTTTTCGAAAATACCGTTATATGGCAAGTGGGCATGTTTACAGCCCGATTTCGCCCATTTTCAATACCAACCCTTTCTTGGATAAAGGCCAACCCACGTACCTAATTTCGTTGAGATATCTCACTTTTTTCTCGAGTCATCGTGTACGCGGACGGACAGACAGACATGGCTTAATCGACTTCTCTTTTCATTCTGATCATTTATGTATGCATTTGTCTATATCAATCTCGATTCGTTTTAGCTGTTACAAACAACCGTTATGCGAACAAAGTTATAATACACTTGTGCGCAAGTGCGCTCGGGTATAAAAAAATCAAGACGTGGTCATTTGTTTGAGTCACTGTATGTACATATGTATGTACCTAGTATTGCAACGTTTAGTATAACTGCAAGTGCATATGACGAAGTACTTTAGAATATGTATGTATGTATGAAACTGATAATTAACACCCGAATAACAATAAAGGTACTCATTACATACAAACAACCTTGGCAGTACAGCAATAAACTGTGCACGATAAGGTAATATTTGCAAATAATGTTAATAAAATGGTAAGTATGTACACACTTTAATAATGAGAAACAAACTAATTATTATATACTAAACGCTATGCAAGTTCAGACTATAAACATAAAACAAAATGAACAAATTCTGGGGAAAAATGGCAAAAAATGCAAATAACTCAGAATTGACTAAAAGAAAACGGAGTAATTCAACCTAATAGCAGTTTGCATGCTGAATAGAAAATAATAACATTTGCAACTATGTATGTACAGTGAAACACAAAAGTATTGGCACAGTGAATTTTTCGCCATATATGCAAAGTTTTTTATTCTAATTTATTTTCGATAATTTTTTACAAAAATATAGTTCATTTTACACCAGAAAACGTAATAATAAAATCTCTAAACTTTGTGCAAAACTCAGGAAAATTCTTTAAATTTCCACACTGATTTGCAACTTTTTATTCAGATTTAAAAAAAAAATTCAAAGTATGCAGTTTTATAGCCCATTCAAATTTAGTATAACAAAGTGTAAGTTTAAAGTTGCTAGAAAATCGCGTTGATCATTTTCTCCATACAAAAAATAATTGTCGAATTACTTTGTATGGAAGAACTTGCGTGAAAAAACATTGCCAAAAATCAATGCGATTTTCTAGCGACTTCAAACTTTCACTTTGTGATACTAAATTTGAATGGGCTACAAAACTGCATACTTAGAATTTTTCTAAAAAATCTGAATAAAAAGTTGCAAATTAGTGTGCAAATTTAATGAATTTTCCTGAGTTTTGCACAAAGTTTGCATTTTATTATTATGTTTTCTGGTGTAAAATGAACAATATTTTTATAAAAAATGATCGAAAATAAATTAGAATAAAGAACTTTGCATATATTGCGAAAAATGCACTGTGCCAATACTTCTGTTCGGCACTGTACATTGTATGTATAAAATGAGTAGATACTTGCATATACATATGCACTATTTAAATTTATATGTATACTAAACATTCACAGTGGGCAGTTAACCATCGACAATGCTATGGATTTTCTATTCACAGTACATATTTAGTTAATAAGATTTTAAACTTTGCTTGCTTTCATAATGATCAGCATTCAAAGTAGCGATACTCGATTTTGTGTAATCGGGAATTTTCGCAGTTTTTTCGTATATAATTTTTTGAGGCATCTAAACCTTGACCGATCAATGTATTGAACGGTATCGAATAAAATGCGAACGCTAAAATAAAATACGAACATTCATTACATATCGTCGTCCGTATGCCAGAAACACAAATGTGTAAAAATTAAATTTTGGCAAATCAAGTTTGAAAGTTTTTTTACAAGACTTCACTCTACAATTCTACTATTGAAATTGTAAAATATGAGGTTTCCATGTACACATGGTGTTCTGGCTTTTGGTATAACATAGAACATCCAAAGGTTAATAAAGTTAACTCAACAACTAAAAACTGTTAAATTTGCACATTCACGCTTCTGGCGTTTCGTGACGATATGTGGAAGAACATCCTCAACACCGTCAAAAAATAAAAATAAAAAAATCAACGGTATTCTGTAGACATTTCACCTTATTGTACTAAAATTGAAGGGGCATACTCAAAAAATGCTTTGTTTAAATCGTGATTTTTGATGAACTTTTTTGAAAACGAGTAACGCAGATGTACTTATTATGCTTAAGAAGCTGCCTGAAAAGATTAAAAATGTGTGCCCCAATTTTTAACTGAATTTTATTTTTGTGAAAAATCAAAGGTTCCGTGGACCTCCCTAAATAAATGTCGTCGTTTAAAGTATAAAACAGCGTTTCGTCGTTCTGCAAAACCGCAAAATTGACATTTGTTCCAAAAATAAAATTTGCTGACCGGAAGCTCCGGCTTGAAGCCTTATCCATACGCATGAAAATATCGATTGACGTATAAAACTAGCTTTAAATGGGATTTTTGTACTTTAAACGATGATACGTAGACAAGCTCTTACTGAATGCGGTAGACCAGTCGTTCCCAACCTTTTTCAACTGGCGACCCACCTTTCTTATCGTGACACCTCTACGGTGCTTTTGGCCTTCTAGTATAAAATTTGGTGACGATGGGATAAGATTTACTGACCGCGCACAGTCGGAAAAGTATGAAAGTACGTGAAATATAAGAAAAATATATTGTTTAATTCCCAATCGCATAAAAGGAAACTTTTCCTATTAGTTTACTATACGGTAGTATAATACCTGACTTCCATTGAAATTTCCTATATAGAAAGCTATCAAAGTCCAAAAGAAGTTGAAAATTCCGAAAGTTCCAGAAATAATATTAGGCAAACAATTTCAAAAGCTTTTTGGCTGCCATTCACCTGGGAGTGGCCAGAAGTGAATCTTGTGTGTAACCTTGCGACGTCTACTACATTTGCCACGTAAAGGAGCTCAAATTTGGTGTTGGATTTATGGTGGGAGAAAGACTCCGTCGCAGAGTACTGGCGTTCACACTGGTGGACGAACGTCCAGCCCCAATCCGCATCAAAGCGAGATTCTTCAACATCTCGTCCATCTACACCCATGCCCGACGGAAGAGAAGGACGAGGCGTCCAAGGATCTCTTATATGAGCACTTTGAGCGTACATATGAGCGCTGCTCCCGACACGATATCAAAATCGTGATTGACAATTTCAATGCCAAGGTGGGCAAGGAAGGGATATTTGGCGCCACTGTCGGAAAATTCAGCCACTATGACGAAACGTCCGATAACGGACTGAGGCTGATCGACTTTGCCGGGGCCCGAAACTTGGTATTATTGAGTTCAAGGTTACAGCATAAAAATATCCATCAAGCTACATGGCTGTCTCCGGATCAAAAAACAACAAACCAAATCGACCACGTTGTGAAAGCAGGAAGGCATGCTTCCAGCGTTTTAGACGGCCCAAACATCGACTCGGACCACTATTTTGTTGCAGCCAAGATACGCACCCGCCTCTGTGCAACAAAAACTGTGCGCCCAACAATGCAAGGAAAGCTTCAATCAAAACAGACGGCCAATTTATTCGCCACTCGACCCTCATATCTGCTTTCTGAGAGCACTCTTCAACAATCCGACATACGCGACCAACGGAACCATATTTCCCGCTCGTTAAGTACCGCCGTCGAAGAAGTAGTCGGATTTCAGCGAGCCCGAAAGAACAATTGGTACGATGAGGAATGTCAAGAAGCCGCAGAGAAAAAAGTCGCCGCCTATAGGGCCACGCTGCGATCGGGCGCCGCAATAAGAAGAGAGAGGCCGAAATACGTGAGTGCGAAGAGCTTGAGATGCTGGCCGAAAGAAAAACCGCTCGAAAATTTTATCAGAGAGTTAGACGACTTAAGAAAGGTTTCAAGACCAGGGCGAACTCCTGTAAGAACAACCATGATGACCTAGTGACCGATGTCCAGAACGTACGTAAATTATGGAGGGAACTC